AAGACCTTCTGATAACTAGACTCTCCGAGATGAAGTCCCAGAAGAGCTACTCACTGTAGCTGTGGGATTATAGACAAACCACTTAACCTTTCTTTCAGTGCCTATTTGCTCATCTTCAAAAGGAAAACAATAATACTTGCACTGTCTACCTTAGAAAGTTTTTTTTTAATGAGGAAACACTTTTTATATCATCCATTGCTATAGAAATCCAAATCCTTAGTAACGATGTTATAATTATTTATTTAATGAAATTTTTGTGATCTAAGGGGTCAATGAAGTAACCTCTGCTGTTTGCTTTTTGGATTTGCTTTATTCTGTTTAATCCCAAAGAACAAAGCTAGGACAGAAGTTTGGAAGCCACAAGGAGTCAATTTTGGGCTAGAAATAAATGCAAATGTTATCATTAAAGCTGTCTTGAAGCAGCATAGACTTCCTCAAGAAGCAGTCCATCTCTTTGAATCAAACTTGTTCAAGCAGAGAAAGTGAATAAGCACTTGGTAGAAAAATTGTAGGCAGCTCTCAGACGACCAAAATGATATCACTATGTTGGAGTCAAGGTATAGTGTATCTGACTGTGGCTGATCAGACTAATATGACCTCAAAATGCTCTACCACAGGTCAGGCACAAATAATCTGTGAACATTTGGAGTGGAGATGACTCTAAATTTAAGCACCTTATGTTTCTTTTGAGCTACTGCAATTCCGCTTTGCTAATAGAGCACAGCGCCTTCTTTGATGCAAGCATGCCATTATGGGTGATTGATTGTCAGTATCTCCCATGTCACTAAATCTATTCGAAAGTTCTTCAGAGAAACCTCCAGAGTATCCTTGTTCTTCTGATCTCTGTATGAGTGCTTGCTTTGTGTCTGCACAACAGTCTTTTAGTTAAACATATGTTTGGCATTCAGACAATGTGTTCAGCCCATTGAAGTTGTACTCTCTGCAGTAGAGTTTGAATACTTGGCAGCTCAACTCAAGAAAGGATCTCCGTGGCTGATACCTCATCTTGTCAGGTGATCTTCATAATCTTCCTAAGACAATTCAAATGGTAGCAATTCAGTTTCCTGGCATGGTTCCGGGAGACTGTCCAGCTTTCATAAGATACAACAATGACATCAGTACAATGGTTCTGTAGAGCTTCAGTCTGGTAGTCAGTGAATACCTCTTCTCTCCCACACTTTCCTTTGGAGCCTCCCAAACACTGAACTAGCTCCGGAAACACATGCATCAATCGCATAATCTATGTGCACATCTCTGGAAGGTATGCTGCAAAGGTAAGTGAACTAATCCACAGTATTCAAAATTTCTCCATGTACAAGTATGCAATGGTTCCACATATGGCCAGTGCGGTGCGGGCTGGCTGGAGAACCTCTTTTCCTTGGTGTTAATTGTTAGGCCAAAATTAGCACAAGCAACAGATGATCAATCTATACTTTGTTGAATCTCAGCTTCAGAGACCGCATCAAGTGCACAGTTGAGTGCAAACAGAACAAAACAAAACAAAAACAAACATGCATCAACTCTCCCTCCACTTTAGTCTTGGCTTGTAACCTTTTCAAGTTAAATAATTTACCATTAGTGTGGTAGCTGACCTTGAGGCCATGTTCGTCCTCACTGAAATCATTCAACAACCTTGCTGAAAACCAGAAATGTTGTAAATATGTTTCAGATAGTGGTTGCATTAGATAACTTTTGAAGTCTCTGTAGTTATGTTTCTAATATTCAGTGTTTCTCCTGATCATAAACAAAAACGTAGTGACTTGAAGAGATCTTTCCATCACCTAAATTCACATTGCTGGTAAATGAGTTCAGTATGCTCACTGGAAACACACCATGCAGGTGTAATTAGCTTTGAGATGAAAACAACATATGGCCCTTCTCAGCTGCTTAACTGGGCATCATTATAATTGGATATGGCCACCTGCATTCTTGTTTTTCTTTTAAAGTGATAATTTTTCTTCAAAAGATATTTTGGGCATTTTCAGAGTTATGATTTTTTAAAAATGTAATTGTAAAGTTTAACATGAGTAAAAAGGGAATGTTTTTTACTTATAAAAAGATATCTGTCAAACACCCAATATTAAATTTCTATTAATGATGACCTCGATGATTAAATAGATAGATAGAGATATCTATGATATATCTATATAGAGATATCTATATTTATATCGAGAGAGAGAGAGAGAGAGAGAGAGAGAGAGAGAGAGAGAGAGAGAGAGAGAGAGAGAGAGAGAGAGAGAGAGAGAGAGAGAGAGAGAGAGAGAATGCTACAGGCTTTTAATGTTGTGCCTCAGTTTCTAAAACTATACACAAAGTTCATTTGTTAGCTCTTAATGGCTAGTTTGACATCACTTCTCAAACCACAGAAAATAAAAATGTGCAGCATTCTTGGCGTCAGATATCAGATATCAGAGCAACTTAGGTTTTGCAGGCTATTTAAAGAGGGTATTTTATGGGAAAACATGTCAGCATCTTGGTATAGTCTCTCTAACCTCTCACTTTCCTCAGAAAAATTAGACCTTTTAACACATGTCCCCTCTTTTTCTCTTCCCTTTATTTCAAAATCCCTTGATATTCTTCCCTATTCTGTCCTTTGCCCAGTCTCTGACTTGAGGTAGCTCTTCTCCTGGCCAAAGCCAAACCATCTATACATGCCTTTGATCCCCTCCCCTCCCATCTTCTCCAAGAGATTGTAACCTCAATCATCCTCTATGTCTCTGTGTCTCCATGTCTGTCTGTCTGTCTGTCTGTCTGTCTGTCTGTCTGTCTGTCTGTCTGTCTCTCTCTCTCTCTCTCTCTCTCTCTCTCTCTCTCTCACACACACACACACACACACACACACACACACACATTTTACAGATAAGAACACAGGCTAAAAGTGTTTAAGCGACTTGCTAAGGGATTACAGAACTATTATCAGAGACTAGATTCAGACTCCAGTTTTTTCTGACTCCAAATTGAACATTCTCTTTACTGAACCACCCAACTGCCTCTCATTAAAATGCAAGCTCCCTGTAAGTAAAGATTGTTCCATTCTTTGTATTTGTATAACCAAAACCTGGTGCAGTGCCAGACATATCGTAAGCTCTTAATAAATGCTTGATGGTTCATTTTTTAACTATTAAACTAGTAGAATCAAATACTTTAGCACTCTCAGGGACTCCAGACATCATCTAGTTCAACTCCTTCATTAAAAACAGAGAAACTGAGGCTGGTTGTGTCACTTTTCAAATACTGCCCACACAACAAAACTAGAATATGAATCCAGACCCACTGACTTGCCATGTAGGGAATCTTTCTAACATACCAGGCTGCCTCTTCTGGACACAAAAAATGATACAAAGACCCAATAGTCTCAGGAGTGTATTAAGCCTTAATGTTTATTCTCTGTTGCACTTTGAATATATAAGCAGTAAATTAACCAGCCTATCTCAGAAAGCACTAGGTTCAAGTCCTGCCTCTGATATATACAAGCTGCGTGACCCTGATGAATAACCACTTAAATACCCATGGGGAACTTTCTAAGACTGTAAGTTGCAAAACAAGTGTATGTTGAATTTGGTAGAGGATATTCCTCCCAGAAAGTTTCCTATATCAATTAAATAATGTCTGAGCTAACCCTCCACTCCTTCCTTCCCCCCCCAAAAAATCTATATTATCATTCCCTATAAAGTTTCTCGGTTATTTACCCTTTGTTGTCTCCCTAGCTTTACTCTTCGATATGTAGTGAACCTTTCATCTGTGCTCCCACCTAAATGAGCCATTGGCCCCCATGTTTCTGATATGCCCCAACCATAAACTGAATGATAATGGTACAGGCTTTGCACCTACTTTGGGAAGATAAGACAGAATCAGTACAGAAAGCTAGCTGTGATAATGAGGCTGTTCCTCAAAATGAGCAGGCTCATGAGCATAAGCAGGAGAGGTTAGAGGCATAGCGTGAACAAAGCAGTCAAAAGAGGACTCAAAATCTGAATCCACATGGCCAGCTATTACCCTTGTGAAGAAATCATAGGCCAGATGAGCCCAGCTGGATCCTTTAACCAACTAGGTCTGACCCTCTTGGTAGCCATGAGTTGAATAGTACTGGTGAATATTTACTCACATCCAATGGGAGACATTGATGGGGGAAAAAGTGAACCTAGGAAACTGGCCTATATCTAGGAACTCCTGGATTTTGATTGTACATATAACTTCGCTTGAGACTGCCTAGATTGGAAGGATCCATGATTGCAGAAATCGTGTCTTTCTTTGTACTTGTTGTATCCCCATGGATACACTTTGTACTTTGCCTAGCTTAGCTAGGGGCCCTAGCAAATGACAGGCACTTAACAAATATTCATTGTTATTGTTTTGTTTTGTTTTTTGTTTTTATTCCATAGTAACAAGCAAAGACTATATATGGTTAAACTGTGCCTGTATGGTCAACTACTCTAGGCCATGTTTTAATAATTAAGATCTATTGAATGGAAATATACCAGGAAGGAGGAGAAAGTGAATTCTTTCCAGTGGGTGGGGATTTGAGCTAAGCTATTTATTAGATAAATCCACATAATTTATGGGAAATATCACCCATAAGAGAAGAAAAACTGGGGAATAGTAACTCTCTGAGAACCATACTGAGTGAAGAACATCTCCTGGGTTTCTTCTTTAGGATTGAATGGAGAATGAAACACGTCATTACCTGAATGAGAGTGCATTGACTTAAATAAGTTATACATATATTAGTGACAGATGCAATCCCATTAGAAGTAATAAGTAGCCAATGAGAGGTTTGATCCTGAGTCCTTTGACTCCCTATGTAGAGCACTTTCCCTTATACCACCTTGCACCCTGATCTATTACTAATTTACCCATAAAACCATCAATTTCATAATACCTCCTAGCATTTTTCTAATAATTAAAATCCAGTTCAATGACCTTTAGCCATTTAGTCATTACCTTCCTATACCTCTTGGGAAAATCAAGACTACAAGTCACCTTGGTCCATTTCTTGACAGAAAGAGACTTCCCAAAGGTTCCTGATAAATAAGAAGAACTTGGACAAGTGGAAAGATTGCTGGCCAGAGCCAGGACCATGATGTCTGCACGTGATCCAGAAGCCAAATGCAGGAAGTCTGAAAGAGTTGATCCTCCAAAGCTTGCAATTTGCTTCTGTCTGATATTGTCATGCCAGAGAATTCATGGGCAGGGTATGTATGCCAAACCTCTTCTCCCTTCAGTCATCCTAGTGGGGAGTCACCTTCCAGCTCCAGGTTCAAAGAGAGCCACTAAGTCAATTATTTTCTTATCTCTCAGGGAAAGGATTGAAATTTTGAATGTGAGGTCTGACGAAAAAGCACAGTCCAGATTTGAACTGACACTTTGCTAATCCAAAAAAGCAATGAACTCTTATCAAGCATGGACTAACACAGTTAAGTACCAAACAAGAAGGAAAAATCTATCAATCTATCTATATGTAATACACAGTGCTAGGCACTGGGAAGAGAAAGATTAAAAAGGTCAAATCCCCTGCTTTCAAGGAACAGATAAGTAAACAGCTTTTATGATCTTATTGTCCTTTCCAATGTGATTGCATAACTTTGATATAATCAATATGAGTTTCTAGAATCTCAGAAACACCAATATTTAAACATAAGCACTAACATATTTTCAAATAATAAATATAACACATTGAGAATATTTCTAATTATGCATTATCTATGATACTCTCACCCTTCATTACAAAATAATGATAGATAGATAGATAGGTAGATAGATAGATAGATAGATAGATAGATAGATAGATAGATAGATAGATAGATAGATAGATAGATAGATAGATAGATAGATACAGAGCTATGAATAACCTTAAAACAAGAATAAGGGAATGTTTTCTTGATTGATTTATAACAAAGCAACCTAACTCAGCTTGCTTAGCACTATGATTTATGCTGCACCATTTTCTCTGCCCCTGAATCTCAGTTTGAATAAGAAACAGGTGGGTAACCAAGCATGCAGATTTTAGTCGTCTTGCTTTGTTAGGGCAATGTGTTCTCATCTTCCACTCCTTAATTAGTTAAATGCACATGAATTGAAAGGGGAAGGAAGAAAGTAATTTGATTGGGATGGTTTGTATTTTGTTTCTTAGAGATAGCCCAGCATATAAAACAAAGTTAGTCAGGGATCATTAACATCCTCCCATAACTCTGACCAGAGACACCTTAAGTACTGTCCTACTCATTTAATTTCATTTTATTTGTATATATCTTTTTCCTACTGAAAAAATGAAATGTTGCCATCCGGTCTGAGAGTACCATATTTTGTATGTCATAATCTGGTTTCCATGGTAATCAGACTGTGCTCCTGAACTTTGCTGTAGCCACCTTTTTTTTTTTTAGCTATGAATTCATACCATGCAATTTGCATAGAATCAGCTTAATTGCTTTGACAAGAGGGCTATTCCAAGCACCCAATAATGAAGAGAAGAAACAATTTTACATAACCATAGAAGCAGAGCTCACTAATGATAATTTTATCTTTTAAAAGATGGAGGAAACAACAAGAGAAAGTTTTCTTCTGGATTTGATTCTTTACCACAGGAAGAAATTGGATGCTTGGGTTTAAATCATGGGAATGTTGGGAAGAAGTAACCACGAACCTCACTGAAAGGTGGGGAGATGGGAAGACCATCAAGACCATGACTCTACTTCCCCTTTTTCCACTTCTTTGATCTCAGGTTGCCTAAAATGCATTTAGGATGACTAGAGGTGGGGAGGGAAAGGAAGATCCACCCACACCAGAGGCTCCTTCACTCCTTGCCCTTCCCTTATCCCTTCCAGAGCCCCAGACTGGAAGAACCAATCTTGCTACTTTACTACTCACATGGCTTACATGAGACAAGTCACCAACTCTATTTCTTCCAGTGAGATAGAGGACCACCAAACCTTAACACCTATCCCGTAGCTGCTTCCTAAAGTCCTGCACATCTGCCTCTATATCCTTCACACTCTTTACAATGTCACCTGACTTACTGATGTAACCTAAGGACCCCCTAAGCTTTGACATTTGCCCAGCTCCTGTGCCCTTAGGAATTCTGGGACTTTGCAACCATTCCACCCACTGAAGTTTCTTTTACATGTTATCTCCAAATACATTGTAAATTCCTTGAGAGTGGAAACAAAAGAAAAGAATATACTTTTTAAATATATATATATATATATATGCATATATATATATATATATTTAGTTTTAGTTTTTAACATTCACTTTCATAAGATTTTGAGTTTCAGATTTTCTCCCCATCCCTCCCCTCCCTCTGCCCCAAGACAGCATGCAATTTAATATAAGCTCTATATATACATTCACATTGAACCTATTTTCACATTAGTCATGTTGGAAAGAAGAATTAGAACCAATGGGAAAACCATGAGAAAGAAGAAACGAAAAGGAGAGAGGGAGAGAGAGAGAGCAAATAATATGCTTTGATCTGCATTCAGATTCCATAGTTCTTTTTCTAAATGTAGAGATCATGAGGCCTTTGGTGTTGTCTTAGATCCTTGCTTCACTAAGAAGAGCTAAGTCTATCAAAGTTGGTCATTGTACAATGTTTCTGTTACTGTGTACAGTGTTTTTCTGGTATTGCTCACTTGATTCAGGATGTAAGTCTTTCAAGGTTTTTCTGAAGTCTGCCTGCTCATCATTTCTTATAGCACAATAGTATTCCATTACATTCAAATACCACAATTTGTTCAGCCATTCCCCAGCTGATGGGCATCCCCTCAATTTCCCATTCTTTGCCACCACAAAAAGAGCTGCTATAAATATTTTTGTACATGTGGGTCTTTTTCCTATTTGTGCGATCTCTTTGGAATACAGATCTATAAGTGATATTGCTGGGTCAAAGGGTATGCACAGTTTTACATATCTTTTGACAGAGTTACAAATTGCTCTCCAGAATGGTTGGATCAGTTCACAACTCCACCAACAATGCATTAGTGTTCCAATTTTCCCACGTCTTCTGAAGAATAAGAATTTCAAAAAAGGAGGGAAAAGGGAAGATGTGTAAAGAAATAGATGTAATTACATTGTGACTTTATTAACCCACTTAGATTTATTTTAAAATATATACAGAATGGAAGCAGATACAGGTAATAAAAGTTAATATAAAAATGCAAAACATCAGGATATAAAAATATACAATAAGAATAAGGCCTGGGGAGCTAAATCTGGGGATAACCTGAAATAGGCAAGGAGAGTTAAGGACAAAAAAAAAGAGGGATTTTTTTTCTAATTTCTTTCTGGGAAGAGAAAATCAAAGAAGGAATCAAACCCCTGCTCTGAGTGGATCTGACAAACATAGAAAGGAAAAAAAATTTCTCAACTCATTTTGTTTTTCATTTTTTCTATCAAAGAGGATGGATAAAAATGGTCTTCAGTCTAAAAATGACAGAACAAAGGTGGCTTAATAGAGAGTTGATACTCAAGATAAGTGATTATGACTGTGGCCCTTCATTCTTGAAGAGGACCATTGCTATATTGGATCAGTGTACAGTGTGACTGATAGATAAATATGAGATTGAAAGGTTCTACCCTGAGTCAGGTATAAATAGTCCATATGAACATTTGGAGCAGAGATGTCCCTAAATTTGTGCATCTCATGTTTCTTCAGTTAGTGATATTCTGTATTGCTCATAGAGTATTGTGACTGCTTTGATGAGGGCGCACTAGGCTGAGCAGATCTGTGCCAGCATTTCCCATGTCTCACAATCAATTCTAAAGTCCTTCAGAGAGACTTTGAGAGTGTACCTGTATTGCTTTTCTGACCTCCATAGGAGCAATTACTTGCCTTGTGTGAGTTATCCATAAAATAGTTTTAGGCAAATGAACATTTGGCATTTGAATAATGTGACCCGTCCATTGGAATTGCTCTCTCTGTAGTAGAGTTTGAATGTCTGACAGTTCAGATTGAGAAAGGATCTCAGTGGCTGGTACCTTATCTTGCCAGGTAATCTTTAGAATCTTTCGAAGACAATTCAAATGGAAACAATTCTGTTTCCTGGCATGGCACTACTAGTCCAGGTTTCACAGGCAAATAACAATGAGGTCAGCACAACGCCTCTGTAGACCTTTAGTTCTCTCCCACACTTTCCTTTGGAACTGACCAAACACTGAGCTAGCTCTGTCAATGCATGCATCAACCTCATCACCTATGTGTACATCCCTGGAAGGTATGCTGCCAAGGCAAATAAACTTATCCACAACATTAAAAATTTATCCTTTTGCTGTAACCAATGGTTTCCTGCAGTGAGGGTGTGGTGCTGGCTGGTGGAAAACTTCTGTTTTCCTGGTATTAATTGTTACGCCAAGATCAGCACAAGCAGCAGAGAATCAACCCATACTTTATTTTGTCTCAGCCTCAGAGGTTGCAATGAGAGCACAATCATCTGTGAACAAAAAGTCATGTACCATCTCTCCCTCCACTTTGGTCTTGGCTTACAGCCTTTTCTACTTAAATAATTTACCATCACTGCAGAAGTTAACCTTGATGCCATTTTTGTCCTCATTGAAGGCATCTGACTATATCACTGGACCTCAAGATAGGTAAAGAATCAGTAAGAAGGCCTCTTCCTACTCTTAATGGGTTGTAACTTGGCCCAAAGCAACCATGTCCTCAAGTACTGAAAGAACTGTGGGATATGATTGCTGTTGTCAATAATCTTAGAAAGATTGTGGAGAAATAGAGGTTGCTGTAGTACAGGAAAATAGTAAATTTCATGCTGATTTTTGAAAAAAAGGAAGACAATGGAGCCTGCAAACTGCAGGCCTTTTGGCTTGACTTCAATTGCCAGAAAAATTCTAGAGTATGTCGTTAAAAGGTTACTTAGTGAATATCTAGAGTCAACAAAGAGCCCATATGGCTTCATTAAAAACATGTCATGATGAGTTAACCTTATTTCCTTTTCTGATCAAGTTATTAAAGCAATGCCAGAGATATAGTTTTGCCCAGAATTTTGGAAAAACATTTGATAAAGTCTCTCATGCTATTCTGTGTAGAAAAGATGGAGAAATGTGGGTCTGATACAAATACAACCAGGTCATTGCAGACCTGGTTGAGTGACGGGACCCAAATCGTGGATTTAAGGGTTTAATGTCAATTTAAAAGGATATCTCACCAATGAAGCGTCCAGAGATCTGTATTTGGGCCTGTGTTGCTTAACATTTTTTATGAATGTAAAAGGCATATTTATTCAGACAACAATTAAGTCTTTATGAAATGCAAGTCACTGTTCTAAGTACTGGGGATTCAAATATGAGCACTGTAATACAATAAACATATATTAAGTGGCTACTGTGTTCCAGGCACTGTGCTAAGCACCTGGGATACAAATAAGAGAGATGATATTTGCCCTCCAGAAGCCTACCATTTAATGAGAACATAATACAAGGAAGGAAGCTAAAAAACAGAAGGAAGAGGGGCAGTGGTAAAGGAGTTACCTTAAAAGGAAACATGATGATGGTGGAGTCAAATTCAAAGAGTAAAACTGATGGAAAACGATGAATTCATTGTGTTTCTGAGTCCTGTTTAAATGGAGGCCTTGGGAGAAGAATTTTGCTCTACTCTCCAGTCCTACAATTAGAGGAACAGAGACAAATGAAGGTACTGATGAGGTGTGAGCACCAAAGCAGCTGCAATCTCTTCAGTAATGAGCTTCCTGATGATGAGAGACTGCAGGGTTTGTTTTTGGGGGGGGGATCAAATGAAAAAAGAAAAGTTGCTGATCTCAAGGAGCTCACATTCTAATAGGTAAAGATAATATATAAAGGGAGGTGAAAGGAAAGGGCAGCAGGAGAAACATACATAGTTGCCTGGTAAAGTCTAGAAAGTCAGAAGCAGAGCTCAGAGAGAAAGAAAAAAATGATTGGCCTGTGGCCATTCCTCAAAGCGGAAGTTCTGGGGAATTTTCACCAATGGGAAAAGGAGAAGCATACAGAGGCAGATAAGAAAGCCCAAGGTACTGAAAGAAGTTTCAGGATGAGAATGCTGCTAAAATATAGCAGCAAATTCTAGAGTCGGAAGTAGAACCAGGAAAGGAACAAAGCGATATATTAGTCATTATGCCAACTGAAGATGTGTCTATGATATCTTCAACTGACACAAAAATGGGAATAGCTAAAGTACTGAAGGATAGAATCAGAATACCAAAAGATCATTGCAAGTAGGAATTATTCATTGTGCTTGTATCTCCAATGCCTAGCATATTGTAGGTGTATAATAAATCTGTGTTGATTGTTGATTGATAAATTAAAAGTCACCTTATAGATTATGATCGAGAGAAACAAAATCCCTTTCCCAAGGATATAAAGGGAGAAAGTGGAAAAGCCAGAATTAGAACTCAGGTCTTCTGTCTCCAAACCCAGTACTCTTTACAGTATATCCTTTAAGTATAGGATCTAAACAGCCATTGGCAGGTAGTGGCAGAGCAGATATAGATAGAGCTGGGTCTGAAGTCAGTTAGATAACTTCAAATCCAACCTCAGTCGTTTACTAGCTGTGTGACCCTGGGCAAGTCACTTAACTTCTGTCTGCCTCAGTTATTGTTGTTGTTGTTGAATCATTTTCAGTTGTGTCCAACTCTTTGTGAC